GCCCACGTGGGAGAAACCATCTGACAACGCTGACAGGAAAGTTCAGGTTACAGCGTGGTGTGAGCAAAAGTGCACAGATCATTCCTGGTGGGATTCTTGCTTTTCCTCCTTGCAACAGCCTTTAGATAGAGGTGGAAGGTCTGTGGAGCCCACATCAGCTGTGCTTTAGGCTGTATTTTTAAATTAAAACTGCAGTTCTCTGATTTACATAGGCAGTTTTGTAAAGATCTACCCCCCCCCCCCCTTTTTTTTTTTTCAGGGGAGTGTAACTCTGACAAAGAAGTGCCTCGTTCTCAAATAGCATCCCTGTCTCTCAAGACTGCAAAACCTCTGAACATGCCAGTACAGCTTATGAGACACTGAGGTCAATGCAACTTAGGCATCTAGAGAATCTGAGCTTTTGGGTCAGTCTGCCTCCAGGGTGCCCTTGTTCCTGCAAGCCAGCTTGGAAAAGACCATGCAGGATTAAATTGGAAAATTGTGTGATAGCTCCTTCTTTCAACCCACAGTGCATGAGTGATGGACAGGGGGTAGCAGGAGAGTGAGTATAAAGCAGAAGCGAGAGGATGCTGTGCAGCCTGGCGTTGGCCGTTGCTCTGTGCAGGGTGGGGTAAAAGGTGGCTGTGAGGTAAAAAGCCCCGTTTGGCTTCAAGAGGGCTTCCTACACCTGTGGTTACTATAGGCTAGCAGAACCGCATAAAGGTCATTCTAACTCATGTTACATGCAGAAATGGCTTTCCAGTGAGGCATCAGGGGGATACCACACTGGCCTGGCTGCAGCCACTGGAGACCAGCTAGCAGGCAAGTTGGCTCAGCTGGCACAACCGGCAGCTATGCTAGTTTCAGACCCCAGCTTTCCTTCAGCAGTGGTCCACGTTCCTGGAGCTGGTAATCAGCAAGCCCCTGACCAGCCTGCTGCCAACTCTGAGCATTTTCCAGCTCTCCCCTCTTGCTCCCATGGCTCTCACTGTCCTTTCCAGAGGCTCGCTGAGGCCTGTAGGGGATACGTCTCTCAGGAATGAGAAAAATGTGGATGCTGGACCCAGTTGTGGCAGCTGCTTTCACAACTGCCCTCCCTGAGGAGACTCTGCCCTGTGAGGGCAAAAGGACAGCAAAGGCCCTCGCCCTGGATTTCCTCTAATCCAGACGTATTGCCAGGTGGCCCCATGTTGCCTTTGGCATGAGTCACTGCTCACCTGCTGTCAGCCACTCCAGTGCTCATAGTTCATTACGTTTCTCTGCGTGGCTGGGGATGACCTAGCCCAGGACCTGTCCTTGGGCTCTCACCATGGGTACCCTGTGGTACAGACTGGTTTTCATAGGGGAAAGGGGACAGATCTTAATTATGAGCTTGGTGAACAGGTCATTCCCTTGGGGAATGGGGGTTCTGGAGCTCAGTTGTCCTAACCTGTCCCTCCCTACCATGACAAGGCACAGGCTACATTTGGTCTTACTCAGACAACAGCTTCCACGTACCCTCTGCCTTGCTGCAAACAGCTCAGGAGGAGGAGGGTGCATGGACCTGCAAATTTGGCCCGGGTTTCCTTTGTTCCTTGTCCAGCTGTTCTAACTCAGGAGGTACTTTCCAAAACTCCCCCAGCAGGGTTGGAAGAAATCCTGCTCCAGACTGCAGCCCCCAGATGTGCTGCTTTGCTGCCCTCCCCATGGTGAAACAGCAGAAAGCAGTTTAAGAAAGGAGGCCCTCTAAATTTCCCTGTGGGCAGTTGATACGGGAAACTGCTGCTGGACCCTGGATCCAACAGAGGATCTGTATAGTCACATTTGAGCTGGTGCTTCAGCACATTTATTCAGGGCCAGCATTACAGCACTGTGGCTACCAGTCAGTTATCAGTCCTGGGAGGGGCTGTCAAAAGAGCAGGGCCACGGCGCAGAGCCTCCTTTTCTGTGCACGCTGCTTTGCCTCCGCAGGAAAGACCCACAACCTGTTAATTTTCCTTCTTCAAATGGGGAGATAGGAAATTCCTTCCCTTGACCTCCCTTTTGGATGTGTAAAAGAGCACCTCTGGGTCTCGTACTTCTCCTTGCCTTGACGGAAGGGTAAAGAAATCTCATCTTTTAGTCCTTTTTCATTACTTTTTTTTTTTTCAGGAGGACAGGAGGAAGGAAGACAACTGGGAGTGCCACACCCTGCAGCCTGCCCTGTGTTGTGTTGGGTGACAGTGTTGTCACATCCCTATTGAAGGGTACAGGCACAGGAGCCCATTGAGATTAAAGGGGTCTAGTAGTGATATTTCTTGCCTTGTGGCACTCTTCTTGCTGTGGGGCACTCGAGTATCTGAGGGCAAACCCCAGCTCAGCATCAGGTGCTTCCCCTCTCTCCATCGGGTGTAGCACCCAGTGCGGGAGCACACTTACAGCAGCCAAAGGGAACTGGGGGGAGGGGGTAAGCAAGTAGAAACATGCCGTAGAAGGGGTGTCACAGCTGCCACATGGGGTTGATGCGGCCTGTCAAGCCCTGGAGGAGCAGGCAGGGATAAGGAAGCAGGCTGTACCCTACCGCCCCTCCTGCTTTTGCTCCGAGGAAACTCAAGCAGGCACAGGCTGGGTGCCATGTGCCAGCCTTGCAGCTGGGAGGGTGACGAAGAGAGGAAAGGATTCATGCTTGCAGCAAATCTCCCCCGTCTCATAATAAACAAGGCCCCGAGGTGGGTCTTCTACCAAAAAAAAACCCAACAAACCCCCGCTGGCTATTATCAGCAGATCTCCCAGAACTGTTTCAAAATACAATCTCTGCTCCACCCCAGGCCACCAAACAGTAATTCCTGCATGCACTTGCATTGCTTGCACACTGCAAAATTCAAAGACCACCGGCTAGGCCAGCAGGGCCGGTTTTCCAAGCCCAGGGCTCTCTGTCCTCAGCAAGGTACTGTGGAGTACTAGCAACCCTGTAGCTCTGAGGCACCCACTCCAAAACCGTGTGTTTCTCCACAAGATCCTAAGTTCCTCCTCTATTTATGTGTCCTTGGGTGTGGCTTGGCTCCATCTCTCTCAGATGTCTACCTCGGGATGTCACGTGCCTGTTGGAGATGCCCAAGTCTCACATGAGAGAAGCCTGGATGAATGGCTGGGACTATGTGGCACGTGTTTGAATGGTTACTCATAGCTGGAGAGGGAGGGGGGGACTTCCGTGGGAGCCTGCTGGGAGGAACTCCTTAGGTGGTCATGCAGTGCTTTGCATGAAGGAGCTGCATTTCAGGGTGTGCTTCCACGCACTGCAATGTTAGTGAGAGTAAGAGACCTCAGTTTTGATCCTTTTCCTACACTGATCCTCAAGGGAGCAAATAGAAATAAGCTGCCTTTCAGCCCGCACTCCCTCAGGGCAGACAGTCCCCAGGTTTGGCAGCTGCGTGGGGTGGGCCAAGTGGAAGCATTCAGCTGACTTCACCCCCAGTTATCATAGGAACAATAGCTAATGGACTCCAAGTTTTCACACTCCTCATGCCCAGCTCCCTCTTGTGTGTTTGCTCAGGAAAGAATCCCACGCTGTCCAGGAATGTCAAGTGAGCAGCTCCTGGGCAAAGCTGCTCTCAGAGGTGCCTTGAGGAATTCAAAGCTTTTGAGTGAAAGTTGCTCTGTGGCCACAGCATTTTTATTTTTTTTTTTTTCAAAATTATTTCATTGTTAATTGGGGTAAATCACAACTTCCGAAAAAGACTTTCTACCCAGACTGCCCTGGAAACACTCGCAGCCTCAGTCAGCTTCCCTACCACTCAAACACATCTATTTCCCAAACAGAAGGCACCCCTGTGTGACTGAGCTGCAAGCAATAGGGCCAGAAAGGATCTCAGAATTCACAAAATCCATCTTTCTGCCACTAGGTTAAGGTCAGCCTGGCGTCTTGGCCATTTGTATAGCGACTGTCCGCAGCACCAGCCTAAGCACCAGCTACTCCCAGCAGGACTGGGCTAAATACTGTTTCAGTCTCTCAGTCTCTTTCAAACCCACAAAACTGTGCAGGGGTGTGCTGGGTTCCTGCAACAGGAACCGAAGCCTGGTCCAACAAACTGGCCTTGCTGCGGTCCCTTTCTCAAACCTCAAAAATAGTTCAAGGATTTGACCGCAGGATACAAACCATAGCAGACGGATGAAGTGAGAGAACTGATGAAAAAGGGGAGGGTGGGAGGGAGAGAGGGGGAGGTTGCGTGGAAAAAAGGCAGGTGAATAGGGAAAATTGCCAGTCTCTGCAATCCTACACTTCCCATCAGCGCCTCCCCCCACCACCACACCCCACCACGCAGCCTGCAGTGCTCTTAGCAATTCCACCCCCTCCCTCACTTTGCCTCTTGGTGCTCCCCACTCCAGGGCCTGTGCTGCTAAGGAAGGCGCAGCACGCGTCCCTACCCATTGCGTGGCTTTGCTTAAGAACTGGGGCTTGGCTTCAGCCTCGGGAGCCAGGACCCTAACAGAAAAAGAGAGCTCCTCCCCATTGTACCCCACAGCCTGCACCTTTGGGGCCCCTCAGACTTCACTTGGAACGACCGTTGTTATTTTAAATTAAAGCTTGGCAAGCTATGGATGGAGGGCAGAGAGACAAGCAGAAAGACGCGAGGTGGGAGCCAGAGATGCCAAACCCGCAGCACTAATTTCAAGCAGGCGTTTTCCCACGTTCATAAACAACGCCGCCCCGACCACGCGGGGCAGCTCCTGCACCGGGGCTGGCCCAGGTTGGGTGAGCCATGGTTGTGTCCTGCCTGCGCCCTGCCTGTGCCCTGCCTGCACATGCCCTGCAGGCGAGAATAGCATCGCTGCTGCCAGCGCTCCACAGTTGTCAGCCTTGCAGTGTCGCTTCGCCCACTAACGCATCTGGATTTCAAAGCAAAAGCTGGAAAGTTAAAGATGCAGCCCCTAGCCAGCTCGCCTGGCCAAGTTGAAGAGAAGTGGAGGATCAGAGGAGGAAAGCGGGCTGGAGCTGCTGGGTGAGGGGAGCAGCCGCCGGTGAGGGAGAAAAGTCGCTGAGGGTTTTCGAGAGCAGCTCTTACCGTGTGGGCTGGGGCTGGTCCTGGCACCTGTGGGAGCAGGAGCGTGCTGGGCTGCAGCGCTGATGTCCCGGAGCGCAGAGCAGCAGTGAAGGGGAGTGACCTGGTGGTGGTTTAAGTTTCCTCCGGTGGTGTGGGAGGGTGGTGTCTTTCGACTCTGTTTTAAAGGAGTTACTATGAATCAGTCTGCCTTTAAAGAGAGGGAGAAGGGGTTGGAAAAAAAAAAAAAATTAATGAGCTACGCCCTGCTTTGTTGGCAGGGAGTCAAGAGTTGCTGGGAGGAAACCAGCGATTCAAAGAAATCTGTGCAGGGCTGAGTCTGACTCAGTGTGCAGTACAGAGACCACAGCCTGGAAAAACGACTGACGCTGATCCAGCTGAGTAATAGAGGCCCACAACAGCATCTGTTTATAAAACTGAACTTCTGGTTGTCATAAAAAAAAAAATTATAGTTACAAATGTGGCAACGGGACTTCAACAATACAACCACTCAAACAAACAAACAGCCGGTTGGCAGGGGGCATGGTGAGGCTGGGTGAGTCACCACATCCCCTCCTGTACTGCACAGAGAGAAGCCATCGAGGTTGGCATTGTGGGGGAACGAAAATCGGACCTGTTGGGTTGGCATGGACAAGACTTTTGGGAATATACCAAGGAGCAGAGATGCTCAAAATGCAAGTCTGGCCTGGTGGTGACTCTGGAGCAAGTTGGCCAGATGGTGGTGGTTTGCTTCCACAGACAGAGGGCAGGCAAGGAAGATAAAACAAGGAGTTTGTGATTCACAGTTTTCTGAGGTCAGCATTTCTTGTCATCTTAAAGACCTCTAAAAATAGATCCTTTACATTTGCAGAGAATTGACTGGTGTAATTGTCTTGTGAGTGCTAAAGGCAAGCTTGAGCAGGGATGTGCTTGAGATGTGGGTGAAGGGGGAAGAAGTTTGTCAGAAAGCATCTGGGTTAAAATGGGATCCATATCATGGTAGAGTTGGTGATCTGCTACTGCAAGGAATCAAGCCTGCCTTTGCAGAGGCCCAGAAAGAGATAAGCAGATACTGATAAAATACTTGGCAAAGGCCTTTCCCACTGTAATGAGGGGGACTCTGGGTTGCCTTTATTTGAAAGGCAAAGCTAATGCTCTTTTACGTCCACACAGATTAAAAGACTATTTTTCATATTATTGCTTTTGTCTTGTGTTATTGATATGTGTCTGGTCTAATTTTAGACTATAGCAACCTGCTTAAAAACAGAGCTATGGATAAAACAGCAGCAAAGATGACACATACAGTGGGCAAAGACGTCATCCCCAGACAATCCCATGGGAATTTTGCAACTGATGGCAAATAAAGACAGATTTTTTTCCCTGAGGATAGAATAAGACTAACTGTGTTTAATACCTATGTGTTAGAAAGTGCTTCTTGATGATGTACATTAATACAATGTCCAGGGAAATGAAAATAATTTTGCTAACCCTGCAGAAGGAGCTGGCATTCGCATTGATCTGCACTGTCCATTTGCCCTTCCCTGTTCCCCCAGCACAGTTTATTGGAGTGAGGGACGGTCAGCGCCACACAACATACTGGAGGGCACGGCCCTAAAGCAGACTCTGTGGACCAGAGTTCAGCTGTGGTGGAGCATCCTCTGCCCCAGACCTGTCCACAAGTCACTGCCAGAGGGCAGCTGCCTGCCCACTCGCAGAATTGCTCATCTGAGACCCAGCAGCCAAAACAGCTGCATCTAAAACACACTCACATGGGACAAAGGCTGTGGAGCCCCCTAAGAATTTGAGTATGAAGTGACCTGTGACTGACAAAGCCTGGTTTGTCCAGAGAGAGCAAACTCGTTTTGTACGAACTGCTCTCTAGCCTGGGAGGCTGTGGCAGGCAATGGCCAACATCAGATGCTTCGCAGGGAGGCAGCGGGTTTCTGCAGCATCAGCAGCAGCTTGCCCACAGGAGCGTTGCTTCCCTGCTCTCCATCTGGAAATGTTGGTGCCCAGCCAGCACAGTAAAGGAAAGTAACTGGACAGGCCACATAGGCTGTGACTGTGGCCCTGGAGGAGCACTGGTACCCTGCCAGCAATTGGCTTCATCCCTATTGCTATACCTGTCAGGCTGGGTGTGAGGGGGGTAACAGTGAGTGTCAAGCACACAAGGGTGAGGGTAGCTGCTCCTGTTTGGGAGCGATGCTGCATGTGGGCAAGATGATGGTTTAAGCAAGTGAGGGTACCCCCCCCTCATGTCAGGGTACGGTGAGGTCAGGGGAGAGCTCAGCTTCCACCGAGCAGATTGGTAGCTCTTTGGGATATTTCCACCTTGCATCTGGACAGGGAGGCAAAGTAGAAGTAACCTTACCAATAGGTTAAGGTAGGAGAACATTTCAAGATTATAATATTTGCTGTGTTTTCTGTGTAGCTGCTCGTCTGTGGATGAATCTTTAGCTCAATAAGCTTTTATATGTGTGTGACGAAGAACCAGCCCTACCCACCCATCTCCAGAAGAGGCTGGGTTTTCTGTGTGCCTCTGGCAACTTCTCTCTTTGGAGTGTGTGGTTTTCACAAGGCAGGTTGCAGTAGAAAACCTGTGACGTGAAAAATCTCATCATGGATCAAAAGTCTGAAGCATGCTGCCGGCTCGACACACTAAGTTTGAATTGCCTAAAATCCCCACACCATAATCCCTGGTGTCCCTTGACCTAACTTCACTCATTTCACAGGCTTTTCTGAATGCCTGCAGCCGACTAATAGGAGGTGGTCAGGTCAAAGCCGTGAGAATTTAAGATGTGGGAATCTGGATTGGCATTTCCATGGGCAATGAGAGGGTGAAACTTTCCCATGTGTTCCATGCCTTTGCTGAAGCTCTTCTCAAACAAGCAGCTTGCAGCTGCTGTACGTCTGCTTGTTTTGCTGTGCCCCACACGTTTGCAAACATCACTGCTGTGTGTGAACAGTAGTCCTTGGTGTAACGAGATGAGCATCTGCAGTGACATTAAACAAGACAAATATTAAGCTTTCGCAAACCCAGATCAAAGGAGGAATAGATGATGAGGAGTGGGAGATGAAGTGTGGAGTTAGGGATGGGGGAGGCATGGTCAGGCTCAGTTGGAAGCATCCAGAGCGGATCGTTTCTAGAGAGGGGCGTGCCAGGGGAAATAGGCCATGGGCTCCCTGCACTTTCTTCAGATGCCAGAATCTGTGCCTGGGAGAGGTCTGCAGCTGAGTTCCCATGCTCTCTGGGATGCTTTCAAGTACAAATTCAACATACGTTATTTGGGTATGCTTTTCTGGATAACTCTCTGCAAACATAAATTGCATATTAAGTCCCCCAGTCTAAACAGCATGTCTTTCCACCTAAAGATATTTAAACCCTTTCCTCTCTCCTATATAGGCTATTTACTCTGTGCAACATCCCGCTGGTTGTTTGCAGGACAAGTGGAAGTGATATGCTCCATGCTGTTTTCTACTTCTCTGCTTGTCATGACATGGAGAAGGCAGGGTTGAGCCTGAGCTAACGTGTGGGTTCAAAAAAATAGAAACCGACGAGTTTCATACTGCTCTGTAGTGGTGTAACTGAAGTGTTTGTGTGTGTATCCTGGGGTTATCCATGTGATACAGTAATTTGCAGAGACATATGATACATATCAGAGCCATATGATAAACTGCATTTGTCACGCATGACCCTGCAGGGCTTCAAATGGGACCATTCATCCACTGGAGAAGAAAAGGCAATAGTTTCCTTATTTATAGCTTCACTCAGTTCTGAGGAAGCAGATATTGGAAGTCACACCTTTATGGTTTTGGTCATTTCTCTAATGTGTCTTGTCATGTTCCTGTCCCCCCAAGGACCACGAGACTTCCAGTACTTAGGAAAGCTGACTTTACAAGCTCAGTGGTACAAGGAGTAGATAGTAGTCAACACTGAACAGATGTAACTCTTCTCATGCACAGTCTGGATTTTGTTTCTTTTTTTTTTTTTTGTGGCAGGGATGATCTCTGGCCCAAGTACCTTGGTAAACTGCATGAGAAACAAAACAAAATCTGATTTTTTCCAAAATCACTTAGGACTGGCAGACTGACTGACCTTTTGAAAGTGAGTGGTAGGTACAGAGTAGAAAATACCCTGGGTTTATAGTATTTATGTAGGAATGGTTTGTCACAAAGCTTTAACAGGCACGAATTTCAATAGTTGCCTCCAGGACTTGAGCATTATGAGTGGGGTCTATGCAAGAAAGCATTCTCTGCATCCCACCTACCACACCAAGGAAGCCCCAAAACATTCCTTGTTTCTTAACAGGAATACAAAATGAATATGAGAATGAGATAAGGAGACCATTCCTACCACAATTTGTATAGTGAATAGAATTTAGTTTTGTCCTACCATGTGTGAAGGAACATACACTTCATTCTTATGTTGGAAAGGGAGATAAGGATGGATTATGATTCCTCTCTGCAGTAGGTGGACTGGAATCTCCTGCTGTCTTAGAGTACTGACATTCACATTATGGTTTCAGCAGCAGATTTGGAGATTCCACCAGACTGGGTAAATGGCAATCTATTCGAAACTGGCTGAGGGGCTGGGACTAGTTCTCAGCAGGTCAGTTAGCCAAGAAGTGCCTTGCCTTTCCAGGTGCTGCTTGGTGGGCTGAATGTCATCCTCAGGTTGGGGTTCTGAACACCTCGAGGAGGCAGCATGAGCTTGCTCGTGCTGGGAATAGAGACCTGGACCTGGCAAAACATAACTTTCTTCCATGCTCTGAAGCAAAAGAAGGTGCAGTGAGATGAGCGCCATCTGAAACGACGTCTTCCCCTGCTTTTATGAGAGTGGGGGAACTGCACTCATTTTGATGACGACTCATCATCAACGAGATGAAGCCCATCTCATTTTCCCTTACTTTAACCTCTACCTCAATATCTTGCTTTTTTCCATTGGAAACAGCCCAGCTGAAGACATTTGCTTGTAAAGTGCAAATGGTACCTCTGCCCTGGCAGACCTATCTGAGCTGTCACTTTCCCCAAGAACCTCTCCCATCCCACATCAAAGAAGCAGTGGCTGGTGGTATTTTCCACCTGCACATGAAGGTCTCTCTCATCCATTCCGTCAGCCAAGGAGGTTTTCTTTATTGCCTTCTCCTGCTCCCGGCTC